GTCACTAATATATAGTTAATTACTTTAATTTGGGAAAAAACAATAGTTCTATAACTATCATTATAACTAATGTTTCACCACTAGAAATAACTTGAGAACCACTAAATTAGCACAGAAGTTATATTTCCTACCAGGAACTTTAACTTTTAAAAGGTGTGTAAGTTTCATTTCCACATAGGATATAGGAAGCTGGAAAGATCTTTGCTTCTACCTTAACAAGAAATATCCAAGTAAAGAACAAAATCTATCAGAAAACTGAGACTGTAGGGCAACCAATAATCGGACATCCAAGGAAAGTAGGGCCCCATCAAAAGAAGAAGGGAAAGAAGCTCTGACTCCTCTATGACAGGGCACCAAAAGAAGAAATGCTGGGTGTCATTCAAGTGATTAAAAATAATCAAGACAAATTTTTTTTAAAAAAACGATTAAAGATCCAGTGTAGAGGAAATATGAGCATGTAGAACCTCTGGGAGTCACAGGCACAAAAGAGAATTCACACCCACTGGCAGACTCCTGTACAGGCCTCCGTCCGGTGTTTTGGAGAAAGATTAGCGGCAGGGTAGAAGACTAGAAAATACCTTTCTTTGTGATGCAAACCTGGAGAAGGAGAGTAGCTTCTGTCATAGAAAATATATGAAGCTCCACCAATATCTGTTTCCCCACAGAAATAAAGGTCTTAAGCCCCTGGGTGAGGAATAACAAAAATTGGAACCCAGTGAGACCACGGCAGGAGGAGGGACAGGAAAAAAAAATCCTTTATACCTGAGTGAGGGGCAGAAAACAGTCATGGCCCGACTGCATATTATTATTAGAGGGCTCCTATCCCTGCAAAAGTGGTAGGAAACTCTGTCTCATACAAGACATATCAATGATTCAAGACAGTCGAGCCCTGGCTGAGTTGGCTAAGTTAGTTGGAGTGTCAAGGCACATACCTAGGTTGTGGGTTAGATCCTCCCAGGTCGGGGTACATATGGGAGGCAACCAATCAGTGTTTCTCCTCCTCATCTCTCTCTCTCTCTCTCTTTCTCTCTCTCTCTCTCTCTCTCTCTCTCTCAAATTAAAAGAAGAGATGAAAGAGTAAAGAAAGATGGCATCGTTTTTTAAAACTCTACTCCAAAACCAGAACATACAGGGTCTGCCTAAGAGTGAGGTTAGACCAAGACAATAAAAATATTCTTGCTCCCTCAACACCAAGATACCAAGCACTGGATTACAAACAACAGCAATCTACTTCTAGAGTAGGGACAAAAGCATTGAGAGAAGCCACTCTGGTAGCAGTACTCAGGGAAAGACAAAAGTTCAGGGTAGAGCATAACATTGATGAAAATACCCTCAATCACCCTAGCCCTCTCCCTCACAAATAAAGTAACACTAGAAAATTTGAAGCCCAGGACAAACTGAAGGTAACCATAGCAACAATGAGACTCAGCCCAGCTTAACTCCTGAATAAGTGAACATAATCCTTCATACAAATGACCTAGAAAAAGAAGTGTATCCATTTCCAGTGACAAATAGGATTTCTATCATTCTCTACTGTTTTACACTAGGTATACAGTAGTCAATAAAAGATTGTGGAACATATAAGAACTTCAAGGGAAGAAAAACCTGCTCTCTAGGTGAGAAAAATATAAACAGAACTAGATTCGAAAAGAACAGATACTGGAATTATTAGACAATGAACTTAAACTAAAATTAATATGTTAAAGCCTATAATAAAAAAAAAGGACAAAATGTATGAACCAGTGAGAAATTTCAGTAGAAAGATGGAAACTACAGCAATGAGTCTAAAGGAAATGCTAAAACTGAAAAAAAAAAAAAACGGTAACAGAGATTAATCTCTTCAATATACTCACCAGTAAACTTGACACAAATGAGTAATTAGTGAACTCCAGATCAATAGAAATAGCTGAACAAAAACACAAAAGGGGAAAGAAAAAAGAAAAAAGAACACAGCACCTAAGAGCTCTGATGATATCAAATGTTCTAACAAATGTATAACTGAAATTCCAGAAGGGGATGACAGAGAATGGGGCAGAAGAAATATTTGAAGAAATAATACCCGATAATTTTTCACAATAATGAAAGATATCTAGCTATAGGCCCAAGAAGCACCACGCAGAATATTTTTAAATGGATTTTCATATTTTAAAATACAAATCATATACATAGGAACTACGATAAAAAATTATAGTGGACTACTCATAAGAAACTATGCGAATTGTAAGTCAAGGGAATGATATCTTTAAATTATTGAAAAAAATCTGCCAACATAAAAGTTTAGACCCCATGAAAATATTTTTTAAAACTTAAAGCTACAATATAAGTATTTAGAGAAAAACAAAAATTGAGAGGATCCATTATCAACAGTCACTATTATAAGAAATGTTAAAGAAAGTTCTTCAGGTTGAGGGAAAAATGATACCAGACATAAACTAAAATCTACACAAATAAATGAAGAACTCCAGAAATTATATAAATGAAGGTAACCATAAATGTTCTTATTTTTAATCACTCTAAAAGATAAATGACTATCTAAAGAAAATATAGTAGCAATGCATTGTATGTTAATGCCATATATAATAGTAAAATATATGGCAACAATAGCACAAAATGTTGGAGGGAGCAATTTGAAGTACATTGTTCGAACTTTCTTAAACTACATATCTGACTTTGGAAATCAG